AGTGAATGAACCCCAGAAAAAAAATTAAAGAGACCTTTGGAAAAACACACACGCACACACACACACACAGCAGGGAAAGACCCACCACCCACTTTGACAATTGCATTTTTAATTCGTTTCAATTATTCATGGCTGCCATTCGCAGGCAGAAAGCAATGCAAACACTCGGCAAACCGACTATTTGTAATTATATTCCCGAGAATGTGAGTCTGAAAGCCACGTCTCTTTTTTTTTAAAACGAAATCAATTGTTGATCGGCGGTTATTTCTCATTATGTTTTGTGTTCGAAATTCAAAAGAGGAGTGAGACTGTTTCTGATTTCCTTACAAAATAATTAAAGTACATGTAATATATAATAATATATTAATATTTGCTCAATTTCGAAGTCCTAAATAAGCCCTGTCTTTAGAAATTATTCAAGCTTGGGTGAATTCTACTTGATGCTTATTAAAATATGTTTTAAATTGAAAACGGATTATTATCAATTGACCTCTTTTACTTTTCTTTGAAATATAGTCAAGTTTGCATTATTTCTGCTTGATTTATTACATTTTTTGACAGGTTTGTTTATGAATAAATAGCAAAATAAATTAATACTGAGCAAAATATATGTCCGAATGAGTTCTGTATATGTTTTTTACCATGAAAAATCTGATAAATAAGTTGACATTCGTTATTTTCCACTTGACCTGCATTTAATATAATGTAATATAAACAGATTAACTATCAAAGAATATTATGTTTTCTCGAATCAATTATTTCTTTTGGCATTTTGTTAATACGTTTTCGGAGGAATGCATTGCAGATGTAATTTATATATAATATTAATTTGAATTTATGTGTTATCAAGTTGTCATAGTTACATAGTTAAGAAATATTTCAAAATAAAGAATTTGCTCTCCTATTAAATTTTATTAAATAATTTACTTAATATTTATTATAATGTTTCATTTATTTAACTGATTTAAGACTGCCTTCTCACAAACTCTTTGCTGGACTTAACTCCTTAGCTTTTGGCTTTTGAAATCTGGCTAGAGTCATAAATTTTGCCAGCACACACACACACACACACACACCTGGACTACTGGCCATGGCCGACTGATTCCGTTAATGCTGCGGGCCTGAAGCACTTGTTCTACGGCTAATTAAAGTCACGGCCAGACCCGTTTGGTCCCTGGGCTGTCCTGTCGGTGGCATCGTTTCCGCTTCGTCCTGCTGCCCCGTTGCAATTAATTCCAACATAAATTTGCACTTTCCGGCTAGTTCTATGTGTGTGTGTGTGTGTGTGTGTTAGTATGTGTTTTCCCCAGTCACCTCATATCAGGGATTGGCCATATTCGTAGAGCAATGCCTGCTGACCTTGGGCCTTTTCTTCATGCCATTCCATTTTGTTCGTAACGTAAGGATGGGCTCTTCCGCTTTTGTTTCATTACCACATTCCTAACAAAGGACTTTGGTTTGGAATTATTTTAAAACTCAAACTAAAACGATTCTTTTTCCTAAGACAATCCAGCTTGAATATATGTTATGTTTATAATTTCTATGATATTTCTTAATTACTTCAAGACTCGCCCCAATGTGCCGCTGTTGCGGCTCCAATTTGTCACAAAACAACGAAAAAAGTCACAAAAATACAGGAAAGAAATCATATTGCCCAGACTAGAATCTATCCTGTAACTTAAAACAACATTTAAGGAGAAGTTTCTTTGACAATAGAATTAATTAACGTAGAAAACGTTACTGTTTCTTTTATTTTCTTTTCTGTTTTTATATTTCTAAAGTTTCAAGATGCTGAATGATCCCTTCCCGAAAAATACCCTGTATTCCTTCTAAACAAAAAAGAGAAAAAAAGAAGAGAAACGTACAAAGGACTCGGTAATTTAATGGCCACGTGCATGACAGTCCTTTGGACTTGAATATTTTTTTGCGCACTACATCAAAGTCCATCCGTATAGTCCCGGGGTGATTAAATGAAATTTACGAGTACACTCCACTCACTTGGGGGGCCCCCAGGAGTTTTGGTTTGGGGTTTTATTTTGCATACACATAGGTCCTGGGTCCTGTCAGAGATTGATGAGTTGTATTTTGTCTTTGCCGCGGTCAAGGGAATTTCAGCGGCAGTTGCTGGCCTACGTGGCGTATGCGTAATAATTGCAATGCAAGCGAATTAGATGGGGAAATTCCACTGATTAATTAATACCTCCCTCTGTGACTTGTTATTTACGATATTTTCAATATCTCCACAGATATTAAAAAGCAAAAATAAAAGTTTTGAAATGGTCCTAGCATCGAATTCATCATAAACCCACCCAACTATTAATTTGTACTATTAAACACAATATATACTAGACCAGAGTCCTTGTTTCCAAATGGATTAGCATACATTTAGGGACCACAACATGGACAGCAACAGCATCCGAGATGGTGATACTGATGGCTGTCGATGCCTGTCGAGGCGATGTTATTCAAAATCCAATAATAAGCCCAACAATTATGCAGGACAGGCAATAAAGTGCCAAGCAGCGTTGCCGCACACAAAACACAGGACTAAATGTGATGGGATAGTCCGAAACTACAACTGACAGCTAACCACGAGAAGGGGAAATGGTACGATAGGATGCCAGCAGGAAGAAGGACGAAGGACGAGAAACGAGGGACTCATGTTTATGAGCTGCAATGGCGAGGCGTTGACAGCTTTTGGTCAGGACGTTGCTGGTGCCTCTGGGGGCCTTCCTTGCCTTGCTCCATCCAACCTCCTTCTTATCTATTTTTTTTTTAGTGATCCTGTATATTTGTTGTGCTTTTTTACGAGTGTACACTACATATATGTATATGCTCGCATGTGCATGTTGTTTTTTACGACAAGCAGCCATTTTTATTGCAAGTGTCGGGGGGCCTCGTCTGAGGTTATTAAAGTTTCAGCCAGCCGAGCATTTGGTGTGAAGTCGCATGGCATAGAGATGGAGCTCGGGGAGGATGCACTGCATCCACGATTCGCCGCCCACTCGTTATTTTATTGCTGAAAAGTGCAATCATAAAACGTTCAAGGATCCTTTCCGCCCCACACTCAATGCAAGGCGGCGATAAGAGAAAAAACAAGGCGAGAAAACGAGACTCGGGCACGGAGAGAAAATTTGGTAGAGTTTCACAAGGATATCAATGATATATATGTTATAATATGAATAGATTTTTAAATTGCACTTTGTTTATAGTTTCTTTAATATACCATAAATATATTACTGTGATTCCTGATGGCACAACTCTTAACTAAAATTAATATTCTGACCAACAGCAATAGTATTTCAATTCCTGCTTTAGATCCTTACTCAAATAAATCATAAAATTTAAACTCTCTTTTTACTGTGCACTACAAAAACCACTCGAAATGAGATAAATATAGAGCGAAAAAGACCTGGGATCTGATGTTATTTTTCCCCAATGAGTGAACACATTAAGGTTTCCCATTTTCATAGCCGCAAAACGAACTTCGCCAGTGAAAACTCTTCGAAATGGCTTTGTGCATTTGAAATGCGAAAGGAGCTCAGAATATTTGCAGAACCCCTTGGCCACAGGGGGGAAAAAGACACCATCGAGGAGAAAAACAAAATACCAATCGACCAACTAAAAGCCCATAAAAGCCTATTGACACAAATCAAAAGACACAAATAACGAAAAAAAAAAAAAAAAAAGTAAAATAGACACAGTCTGGGAGAAGGGAAAGGAACAAAAAGCCGGCGGCCAAAACAAGGGATATCCTGGTAGATAAATTTTACACTCCTAAATGGCTTTTGTGGGCCATTTCCAGTAACCTCGAACGATGTTCTGGACCATCGAGTACACAGAGGAGAGAAGGAACTCGGTTTACCGAGCTTAGGCAAGGCTTTAAGCTGAGTTAATTAACTTGAAAAATCGTACAAATAAATGTATAAATTCCATGCCTCTCAAAACTAAATACGGAAAACAAAAAGAAAAGCGAATGGAAATATATACTGAAACCAAAGTAGAGGAATAAGTTTTCCCTGTCAGCCGTCAAATCGAATTCAAAGTTGATGCGATGATGCGATGTGCGGTGAAAATGGCTGGGAAATGTGTGTGTGCGGAAGGAAAGCCGATGTCAGGCAAATATTTGCTGGGAAATAACTGAAAATGTAAATATGAAAATTGAATCGCCGCGGAAAGCAAAGTGAAGGAGTAGGAGTTGGAATCTGGGACAAAGAAAAGTGCCAATGCAAGGGAGCCTGTAGCTGGCTATGTTAGATGTGTGGCAAGGAGTGGCTTTCTCATCCATTGTTCAAGCAACACCGATGCCACTCTCAGTTGCAATGCAAATAAACCGGAAGCGGAAGCGGATCAGGAATGGGAACGAGCACAAGCACGAGCATGTGGCAGCATGAAAACTGTAACGGAAAGCGGACTCAGATGGTGGAAATATCCGATAGGGAAAGTCAGGCTACACGTGGCATGGCCACCTGCGAGAATGCAATTAGCTGGGCAAACAATACAAACTTTTAACCAGAAAAACACGATGTAACAATTTACCAGCAGCGTGGACCCCAAAAACCCTAAACAAACACAGAGACCCCCAAGTGCTTTGATAGGCAGTGGGTTTCAGGGCTGTTATCCGAAACCTAAGCATGGAGAGCCTGAAACTTTAAACTACATTTAATGTCTGTGCGCACATAATTCGAGCAACTATGCTTTTGTAAATTAGAGAGAGCAATTAAAGCCAAATTATGGGTAGAGGTGGTGGAGGTAAAGGTACTAGCTTGATCCAATTGAGGTGTGACAAATCACCCAATCAGCAAATCATTAGTCGATTTGACTACGCAGTCAGAACTCAGTTGCTCATTAGTTCACCGACAGTCATGGGCTTCTATAGGAATCTGTTGGGCTTTATAACGCTCTTTGGATTTCTACAATTAACCCAGCAGGTATATATATACCTCTATAACTACCTTTAACTATTACTATATATATTCTGATCTTTTTAGCACTGCTATATGATGAAACTGCTGGGTCTTAGGTCTTGGGACACTCCCGCCTATGGCCTCAAGATAAATCTCTTTGAGAAGAACAACTCCATGTCTTCGGTGACTACGGTGCGTCAGGATGTGGCTATACCTCTGTGGCATCTTGTTCTCCTCCAGCATCCGCGAAAGCGGAACTCTGGATCGCCATCTTCGCGAACGGAATTGCCACGAACTCTGTACAATGCCACCACAAAGACCTGTGACTTTTGGAAGTACATACGTCATGTATCCGCTTGGAATAATGTGGCCAAGTTGATGCTTTCGAAGGGGGCCAGCAATATGAGTTTGGCTTGTCCCCTGAAACAGGGCGTATACGTGATGAACCGGATTCAGGTGCCACCGGAAACGGCCATTTTGAAGTTTATGTATCATCCCAATACGGTCTATACACTGGAAGGCACTGTATTCGGTTTGAATCCCAAAGATAGAGTTACCAAGAAGGCTTTGTGCCACTATGAAGTTAATGCCACTATCTTTAAGTCGTGTTAGGAGAGGGGAAGTCCCTCACTAAACAAGTTTTTTTTGTCTTTTTTTAATATATATATTAAACTTGAATGTTTGTTTAAAGTTTCCATAATGTTTATTTAATATATATTAAAGTTTGATCTGCTGAGAGTTTTTGGGAATTTATGTAAACTATAATTATTAAAGCTCTTGCAGTTAAAGGAAACTTGTTAATTAATTATTTATGGCAGCTATCCCTTTTCGGTCTTAATTTATTGGATAATTTTCTGATATTTATGGCAAGAATCTAAGATACAAATATATATATTTATATATATAGTAAAGATAAACTGCAACAATTCCCTTTCTTGGTCGCGGAATGATGCCGGTTTCCATTGTCAGAAAGAAAAAAAGGGAGAGAGAGTCTCGTTTCTGGCCAGGATTGAGGTTGCAACTGGGGTTAATGGTGGTCTTGGCCACGTGCGTGTCGCACGTCAGCAAAAGATTTTTAATTAAGTGCGAAATAAAAATGAAAAGGAAAACTGTATACCATGCACACCATGCACTGCACACGCAGTTGTACTTACACACACACACCTGTACAAGGAAAGGGGACCCCCCGTGGACTGGGCTGTAACCGCAAATCAGCAGAAACGGAGACACAAAAGTCGGCCAATTCGTTTGAAATTCAGTCAGGGAATGGTGGTGGAAAGCAAGTTACAGGAAAAAAACGTACACTTCTTCATTAGCATTTGAGGCAAATTAAAAGGTTACACAGCACATGGAACATATTTCCAGAGAGAAGCTAATGAAAACCCTAAAAATAGAACCTTTAAGACTAAAACTAAGTCGTTAAAATAAAGCTTTAACCCCTTAAAGAAGTATTAATTTTGAATGCGAATTTTATGGTGAGTGTAAATTTATATAAACGTGGAGAATCAGTGGCTATTTGAAGTCAGCTGAAGCTGCCAAATATGAGACTTTATATAAATATTTATCAATAAAAATTGTTTATTCAAATTTGAGTTAAATAATTAAAAGCAGTGAAGGAATCGTTTCCGACCCTATAAATCATATATATTCTTGATCAGTATCAAAAGCTGAATCGATTTTGCAATGTTTGGGAGAAAAAAAAAATTTGCCATTTTCCCAAATTTTATAAGGGGTAACATAGTTAAAATTGTCAAACAAAAAAAATATTGAAAAATTTTGAATTTTATAAATTTTTAAATTAAGTTTGCAAATTTGTTAACCTAATAAAAACTAGCATATGACAGCATTTGGGTTTAAAATTAATCCTTTTTTGGCGGAGTTATGACTTTTTAAACTTTGATTTGTCGAAATAATTGTTATATAAAAATATTAATAAATATTGATTAAAAGAATGTGAATATTTTTAGCATAATTATTTTCTATTGTCGATCCGATCCTTAATTCTTTTGCAAGCTGCAAGGTTATATAAGCTTTGGTGTGCCAAAATCGGTTTCCATTTTCGTTTCATTTTGTTTCTGGCATTCATAGTCCGAAAAATTACGTATACGCACTGTTATATTTGTACCCTTGCAGGGACTTTAAATTTCAGTCAGAAGCCTAAAATTTGGTAAAGGAGTCATTTCCAACCCTATAAATCATATATATTCTTGATCAGCATCCACAGACGAATCGATCTAGACATGTTGTGGGAGAAACAAATTTTTGACAATTTTTTGCAAAATTTTATAAAAAACATCGTTACATCGTTAAAAATGTAAACAATATTGAAAAAATTGAATTCTTTTAAATATTAAATTAAGTATGTAGATTTGTTAGCCTTTTAAAAAGTTGCACAGAAATGCTTACCGAATTGAGAATAATAATATTTTTACCAAGTTATGAGATTTTTAAGATTTGATTTTTCAGTAAAAATTATGAAAACGTTAGGACCCTTATTTTTCATTTTTCTGCCAATATTTTGTTATTTATCAATTAAGATTTTATGTAGAACTGTAATATATATGACTTTCATGAAGTAGTCTAATTTTGGCAGTCATAAGCTCTCAAAAAAATATGGAACAATATGAATATGCTTTATGCAATTATAAAAACCAATATCAAACTCTTTAAACCATCAAAATAAAAATAAATACTATGTTGAGCCAAATGAGTAACATTTCCATCGACAAATCACTTAATTTCCTTTTCGAATTTCCCCTCTTTTAAAAATTTAATTTCCAATTTGGCGAGCAAGCAAAGCAATAATATTTATTCGGGCAGCGATCGGTAGGTGGGAAACGGTCACAAAATTGCGGCAATCATATTTCTGCGGTCTGAACTCGGCACTCGGAGGCAGGACTTGCATTTACATTTTTGCATTTTGCATTTTGCATGACCGCACGCACTCGGAAAATGGAAAATTCATATCGGTTGGCCGTCGTGCGTTCCAAATTCGCAGCAAATTTCGGCCTGAATTCATAATCAATTTTCGGTAGGCAACTGCCAAATAATTTTCAGGTGGCAAATTCCACTCCAAGAGGAGATATTCTTTTGCTAGAGAAATAGGAAGGAAATAAATATTCGAGTTACCGCAAGATATATCCTGGGCTTCCTTTCATTTCCTGTTTCTTTTCTAACCAAAAACAATTGGGTTGAAAATAAACAGCGCGGGACACGAACCTCAAGTGAACTGGCAAGCTAACTGACTGACTAACTGACTCCCAGGTGGGACCAGGACCAGGACAAGGACCAGGACCAGGACTGAGATCAGGACTTGGGCTGGGACCCCGCCTTTTACCTTTATAGCCCACCGGCTCCGCCTTGGGGAGAAGGAGTCCCCCCAGCAATTGGCATAAAATATGCGACGCTTGCATGCCAGTGACTTATTATTAAAACATAAAATTTGCATGCAAGCCGCAGAGCTAAAGCGACCTAACCTATATAGTAAATATATATTTATATAAGGAACATATATATATATATGATATAAACATTTAAAACAGCTGCGGTGGAAATGACAGGGCACAAAAGATATAGATATAAGGCACTCTGTTTAATTTACAAATAAAGAATAATCTTGTTACTTTACTTTATTAATAATGTAATAATGTAATTATAATAAAAATTATACCATTAATATAACTATAAAGATTTGAAAATTATATTTCCTTTCAGCTGTAAATACTTTTGGATACCTTTAGATAATTTTTGATATTTTACCTTTAGATACATTTAGATACTTTCAGAAACTTAAAGACACAATTTCTCCCAGAGATCTCTCTCTTTCACAGCACTATAATTTTGACTGCCACTGTTGGGTTACTCCCAACTCAGAATAAGAAATCCTCAACCAAGATAGGGAGATATATATATATATATATATAAATACGTGCCTGTTTGTACATTTATGTGGCGTTTGGCAATTTGAACTCGTGAATTATGCACAGAGCGGGAAAAAGACAATGGCCGTAGCAAAAGCGGGGAAAAAGCCCAAACAATGGGGACTTCCCCGGGGGCCTGTGCCTTCGAGGGAGGGGGAAAGCACGCATTAGACAAATTTGGCCAGTTTATTTACTGGCAACAGTTTGGAGACAGTCACACAGATGCTAACACTCAGTGGATTGGATCGGATTTTCTGGTGGTTACTTAATGAAGTTCAGTGTTGATAAATGTTAAGAAATCCCAAAGTTAAATATTAAATCTCATGTATAAAAAAATAAAAATATGGTAAAATGCAATAAAATAAATACAACTAAGACTGTTCTTCAAAGCCATGAGTCTGAGTTGCTAGAGTTGTTACAAATATTTCTCAATTTTCTTTTTAAAACCCACAAAACCAGGTAAAATTCTGAATGCAAGTTCAACAGTTAATTGAATTACCTTTGACAATTAACCCCTACACCACCCACACACATTTTAAGCCCAATTCAAAATGACTTTTGGCATTTATTCACTGGACAAAGTTCAGTCCGAAATGTATTTTCGAAAATTCCCCTTACGATGAACGACAAGTGAGGTTAATTATGAAGCTGAATCCAAAATCCGGTGAACGAACGAACGAAAATCATCAGAAGTCAGGTGCCATGGCAACCGCAAAGAGCTTCTACCAATTACAGCCTAGCCAAAGTACAGAGCGAAAAGGGAATGGGAAATTCAAAGTGAATTACAATCCAATGTCAGAGTCTAACTATAAGCAAGGATTCCAGATAGCTCTAGAGAAATTAAGAAAGAACTTTAAATTGCAACGAGCAGTGAGCTTACACACAGATAAAAATATATATATACCATATATAACATCGGCACTAACTGGAAACCGCAGGCAGAGTGCAGTTAAATGGAAACTGGGGCTCATACGCAGTTGTCACATCAATAACTTGCCGCCGGCTTAACATCCAATGTGCTCACTTTACGATTCTCATCAAGGCACAGAGAGAAAATAAGTTAAAAACTTTAAACTTAAAGCAGAAATTCTCAATATCAGGGATCAACTTAAGTTATTATAGCCCCAGGAAATTAAACTTTAGACTTAGCTCTATAGTTTTATAAGGCTTAAAGTCTCACTATGCCGCGCAGTTCCTTTCTTTGCCTCTAAGTTATTGCCATCGAAATGAGTTTAAAGGATATTTAGCCAGGTTGAGCTAATTCCCCGTCAAATGTCACCTGCCACCTGCCACATATCGCATTTTATCGCCCACAAAAATGGCAGTGACAGTAACTGATATATAAATATAAATATATATAAATATATATGGTATATTGCAATAGCCTTGGACAGTGCCTAAAGCCAGACTGTATTTTTATTTCTTTACTCCTTACGCTTGCCCGATTTTATTTTTAATTATCCGGTGAATGCCGCAGAGATGAATTCCATGAAATGGCAAACAAAAATGCATCTCACATATGGACTTATATATATATATTTCTATAGATATATATATATATATATATATATGGTTAAAACTATAAAGAAAATGCGCATATTAAAAGTTCTTTGAACAGAAATAATATTAAAATAAGGCAGCCAAATGAGCGTGGAGAAAACAATCTATTGAAGGCCTTTGAGCTTAGCAGAT